CTGTTTGTCTGCTTAGGTAAATACACAAACACATGCTTGGGATTCCTGTGGAATAAGACCAGGGAGGGTAAAGAGCACTGGGAGAGTGATATCCCAGGAAGCCCCAGCTGTCGCCTTTTATAGTTGGAGACCGGCTGGCGTACGGAGAGAAATCAGCCTCAAATGTGTCACAGATGTGTGTGATTTGTGGGAAATTGTGAGTATTCACAAATATGTACGTTTGAAGACTCGTTACAAAAACATATTTGGAAACCTTCAGTGATCAGTACCTGTAGTAATGATCACTGATGCACAAACGTTTGAGGTTTGATTGTTAAATGATGAGCTTTCGTTTGTGCATGTGCAGTTTTCACACAGATTCACAAATGTATGCTGCATTCAAGTGCTAGTGGAAAACTGGGTCATCTGAACATCATTTGAGGAACATAAAAAAATCTTTTAAATTTGGACTTGGTATGATCTTTTAATAATTACAAACAGACTTCTGCCTTCGGCTGAGTATTTAACAAGGTTTCTTGGAATTAAAGAGAAATGCTCTCTGGGTTTCGTCCTGCTCTGCTGCGCAATAATATAACATGAAAATATACGGCATGCTACAACCAGCCTGTGGGCCGCATTTCAACTTTATTTGCTTTTAAACTTTTTTTTATTTTTATTTTTTAATCATTTGCTGGTTTTCTTTAGGTCGATTACCTTTGAGTTTGGACTGTTTTGGGGTTTGTTTGTTTTTTTGAGAAAACAAGACTTTCAGATATTCTGGGGCGTTCCTGTGATGCTAAACCTGAGTCATCACAGGTCTGCTGAAGACACCAAGGCCAACACATCAGCGTGTTGAGATGACAGGAATAACCTGACGAAACTTACATTTGTCAGCTGTTTTGTAAAGTGCTACATTTTTACATCAGAGCATTCAACACCGAAAGATCATCTAACAGCTGATTTTTCTGTTACGTTACAGCTAAATCACAATAATGAATGTTGTCTTTACTTGAGGGTATAATTAAAATAGTCCTTGTAGATTTTTATGCACAAAACACAAATGTTGTATTTCTTTCCTTCTACCTGCAGTAACAACCTAGAGCACATCACCTCACCAGATTTACTGAGTATAGATGAAAATGGTGATTAAAAACAGATTGTATTTCACGCCTTTAAGCCCTTCAGCTGGGAAGTGAAACCGAGGATTTATTGATCATTTAGGAGAGGGGAAATTTGGTAAAGGATCATCCCAAAGAATAGAGGCACGTTCCTCCCTTAGTTTGTAACGCTGTGTCTATAAAGGCCGTGATAATTTAAGGCTGTAATGAAAGGCTGTGCAGAATCTCAGCACATATATTATTCATTAGACTTCACTTCAGTCAGCTGTGTTGTTTCACCGCAGTACAGTACAGGCTTCAGTAAAGGCCTCTGGGAGACAGCTTGCTCACTAATGATGCTAACATAAAGCAGAGAGCTGCAAAGGAAAAGCTTCGGCTGTCTAATGGATTCATCTGTGAAACAGGAGCTGAAGAGAAAAACAGGCAGAGAGGAAGAAGAATGAAGTTGGGAGAGGCGAGTTAGCGAGAAAAGAAATGAGTCCAATTAGAAGGATGACAGAGCAGATCCAGAGTCGGAGAATGAGGGCTTCTCTTCTCCATCCCAGTGGGAGCTGAGTCCTGCTGGGTGTGTATTCCTCTCACTCCGCCCTCCCTTCCTCCCGGTTTCCACAGCAGCTTGTTGTCGCCCTCTGTTGCTGAGAAACAGCTACTGCACTCGGGTCAGGTGGCACCGGTGGGCCGGCCTTTGGGCGACAAACAGCTTGCGCAACCCCGCTGACGTCACACGTCGCTGTCTGTCACCCGCTGGATCTAGGAGCGCACACACAAACACACACACTGCAGACAAAGGCTTCTCCTCGCTGCTGTGTCTCCTGACATTCCCAGGTTTAGTCTGCGTGTGTGTGTTTGTCTTTGTGTGTCTGTGTGAGTGTGTGTGGGCATGTGGGCCTGTGAATAGCAGTGTGGTTCTCTGTGATAAGAGCGGTTGAGCTTTATGACTGGGCAGTTTTCTGCTGTGTGTTGTGGTTTCACTTCTAACCTTTCTGTTTGTGCATTTTTGAGCTGCGATGACCTGCAGGTTCATGAGTTTCTACACCGGCCTGT